AAAGGTTTTTTGTCAATATGGTCTATCCAGAACTCTTCAAGTGAAAAAGTTTTGATTTCACCCAGTTAAATTTACCAAAAAGTCTTATTTAAGGAACTCTTTGCAATCCGATTATTAATTAATCGAAACAATAATCTACATTTTAATCAAATTGCAAAATAATGGTTAATTGCACCCGTTAACTTAATGATGGATCAGAAAAAAATGTCCAATCCTGATCACCTTCCATGCAGTCGGTGAATCATAAACCCTTTTCTTTACTAAATTCTGCATCAAGCTCTTTACGGCTATGATCCTACTTTCTACCCTTGCAGCACCTTTTTTGCAGCCTTGATCTTTTGCATTTCTTTGTTTGCTCTTTTTTGTGTGTTTTCGTATTTTATATCATTTATGTGTCTGCAGAACATTTGCAGTTTGTGGCACATTTGCCTCTTCTGGTTACCATATAAACTACACTGCCAATTACGCAGTAATAACTAAGCATCATATCTAAAAAAAATAACTAACTGTCCCTTATTTTCCTTGACTGACTTCAACAATAATATAAAGAAAAATATATATAAATGTCAAGGAGAAGATAGCATCATGTTAATGATAAATCAACTCAATGGCAGCATTTTGTTTCACATTCTTCCTTCTATATCAGGTCTGAGTTTAAACGTCAATCTATGCAAAAACATTCAATAATTAAAATATTTTACAGCAAAAAACAAAAAACCTTTACCGTATATCAGGTTAAAACATTTCACTTCCCTCTGCAAAGTGAAAGATGTTAGCACACAATTATAATAACTAATTTGATTTATATTAATGTATAATTAAGGTTTATGAGGCAGACTGCCAAATGTACGTTTATATAGCTACAAAAGTCCACAGGGTCAGTAAATTAATGGCATAATTAACACCATGACCACAGGAAAATACAGCGGTTTGTGTTGCAGGGCAGGAGCGGTGTCAGATAAGGCTGTTTATGCATGAAGCTGCTGTTTATTACTAAAATACCATGCAGCTCATAAAGAAGAATGAGAAAGTTTAAGATATTGGAGCTAAAGTGCTGCTCAATGCATGCGTTGCTTTATATGAATCATCAGTTGCACTTGTTGAGTTTTCTCTGAAAGATCTTGCATTAGGTTTAATGGCCCATCGCTGTTGTGGTCACATTAACTGGAATTTACAGCAGAGGTGAAGAAACGCTGGCTTTCAATCAGCAGCTCAGAAAGAAGCCGTCATTATTAACAGTGCTGTCAAAGATTTCTGCTAATTCTATGGTTTTTATGCTGATTAGTCATTTTAAAATCTTTTTTTAAGAACATGTGAAAGGAAAATTATTACAACCTTTATGACTTTTTGTTTCCATCCATTATCAACTTTAATATTTATGTCTTTTTTATTTTAATGTGAATTTTGTGGGTGATGAACGTCTACTGCATCTCTATGAGAAATTTACATCTTATTTAAGTCTTGCTTTAATAAAGCCAGGCCTGATGTTTATGGTTAGACATGCTGCTTGTCATGAATCATTTGCATGTTTTTCTAACCATCCTTGCCAATGCAAAACACAAGTTTTAGAAATGGATCATGAAATGGTTGATTTAAATAACTGGTGAACAATACCTCCTTAACGACCGACCTTCAGAATCATAGACAGGTTTCAGATATTACAGGCTAACAATGGAACCAAACGACCCACTCGTTGGTTTCTATTTGCATGTTTCCAAGCAATACAAGGCCTTGTCTATATAAAGACTCAAACTTACTGCGGATCCAGACATTTGCATTGAGAAAGCTTCCTGGAGTGAAAGCGAAACATCTTCAAACCTTGGAAACCAAGACCAGTGGATTGTTTTTTTAAACTTTTACGTAAATTTAAATACCTGATCATATAGTACTCAGTACTGGGAAATGTGTTGGTGTGACTCAACTAAGCTCCACCTACCAGGGTGTAAAACGGAAATCATCTAAAAAAGAAACCATAAAATTTTATTATAAGTAAGATTTTTTTTTTTTTTTTACTTTTTGTCATTATATACCTCCATCGTTTCCCAGAAGTACATTAAGAAGGAAAGTATTTAAACACTAAAACAAGAACTGAGCTCATGGAAACCAATAACATGTTTCTGGGTGATATATTGAAATACGTCGAGATAAAATAAAGTTATATCACCGCTCCTCATGAGCCATATCTCTACATTCATTCACCTTACTTGCATCAAAGATTTACAGGATTAAACATAGAGTCTAAAACATGCCTTTAGCTGACAGAGAAACCCACTTATAGCAGTAAATATACCCAGATAGTAGAAAAATATAGAAATATTTTCCATTCAACAAAAGAAAAAGAGTTTTCTTCTGTCACTATATTCTATCCAGAACTCCACAAGTGGAAAAGTTTTAGTTTCACCTCATTTAATTCTGCATAAAGTCTTCCTAAAGGAACCTTTCGCTATCTGATTATTAATGGATTAATCAAAAAATAATATTAATGAATTAATCAGCTATCAAAATAATCGTTTGTTGCAGCCCTAATCTCTAAATTCATTCACCTTACATGCACCAAAGATTTACAGGACTAAAGAGCAAAAAAAAGTGTGCTGTATCTCTACTAGGGCTCAAACATTTAATTGGATAAATCGTAATTAATTGATTTTTAAAATAACCTTTAACTAATTCATTAATCAATTACTCATAAACTGGAATATAGAGAGTCTAAAACAGCCTTTAGCTGACAGAGAAACCTACTTATAGCTGTAAATATACCAAGATAGTTAAAAAATATATAAATATTTTGCATTCAAATAAAAGAAAAACCTTTTTCTTCTGTCAATATGATCTATCCAGAACTCCACAAGTGGAAATGTTTTAGTTTCACCTCATTTAAATCTATATAAAATCTTCTTTGAGGAACCTTCTGTTATCAGCTATCAAAATAATCGTTTGTTCCAGCCCTGATCTCTAAATTCATTCACCTTACTTGCACCAAAGAGCAAAACAAGTAGCAAAAGCTTTCATTTAGTACAGATTTGCCTTGGAAACTTTTAATCTAAGTACTTTAATCCATGAAAAACCATCCAAAAATCTCCAGCAGCACAGTATCCTCTGGAACATTTCCAAATACAGCATCAAGATCACGCCCCCTTACCTCAAACTTAATATTCAGTTCATTTACTCTGCATTGTAGTGCAAAAAAAGAGGAACAGACTCATGAAAGCATGTCAGGATTAACATAATACAATTCTCATGAACACTGATAACCCGCAGACTAGACCTACAACACGCCAGAAACTTCCTATTATAACATCATAAACAAGAACTTCAACAGATTAAACAAATAAAAGCTACCTTCTCATTGGAGAGAAGCTTCTGATACAATAAAATAACTAACTGGTTTATTTTGTTTTGCGCAGCAGGAAGTGAAGAAACCACAGTGGGGCAGTTAGCACCTCTGCTGCGACACAATCCCAAATAATCCCAAATATGAGAGGTTCTGGTGTGCAGCCTGAGGCTCTACTCCTCCCAAACGGCCCCGACTTTGATCTGATCATCACCTGGGTCGGCATCGGCATGAACACAGAGGCAGGAGGCCTCAGGGTCAGAAGGTGGGCGCCCATAAAACCACATCAAAATTCTTCTCAGTCATTCTCAGGCTTTCTTCTAGTCCTAACATCGCTTCATGAGTCATTTCATCCATGCAAATGACATTTGACTCAGAAATTTAAGGTTGCAAAGGTGAAACCGTCCATCCCCGAGCATTTCCTCATTCAGGACATCCTCTTTCTGAGGAAGAAAAATAGAAGTGATGCTGCAAGTGTTTCACACAAAAAGTGAGTTTGAATACAAAGTTGTTAAAAGCTGCTGATCTGGGTGTGAAAAAAAGGCAAAAACATCATATAATGATCAATGTAGCAATGTGCCGCTGCAGAGGGAAGGAAAAAAAATACATCTGAGCCCCCATGTGAGTATGAGCCTCTCACTGCATGGAGAAATAAGTGAAATCCTGGAGTCAGAGTTACAAAAGCTTCCATCATCTGAGCATCAGTGTCCCTGTTCTATAGAGGCTGTCATAGTCCTGAACCTCAAGGTAGTTCCTGTCTCTTCTTTTGTTCTCGGTGTGCAGTGGTTTCCCCATATAACTTTGAAAGCACGCCTACTACCAGGAGAAAACAGCAGATCAAGAGAATATGATTTTCTAAAAGTCTTACAGCAATATTTGTATTTTTTTTTATTATTTTAAGGCTACAATCCGCAGTTTATCTTTACGGGATTTTATGTAACCAACCAAATCAGAGTAGAGGATGACACGAGAAGGGAAAATATAAGCTTTCAGACTTTGAGTAGGCCATTCTAACAACACAAATTAAATATTCTGTTGAGTTTCAGCCATTTGTAATAATTATCTTCCAGAATTGGCCTTGATTTACCACCATCCTTCCTCCAATCAACTCTAAACCCAACTTCCCTCAGCATGATGCTGCAACCATAATGTTCCTGCAAATCTAAGAGCTCTTTACTTCAATGTGCAACCTTCAGTTTTAATGTTCATACACTGAGTTTATTCTAAATGTGGCTTCGGAAAAGCTGAAAACAGCCATTTTACTTTATTTTATTTTTTTTGCAAAGTTTGCATAAAAGGCCAAGCAGAAAAAGTTCTCACATCTGATCCGTGAATCTCTGCAGCTCCTCCAAAGCTAACAAAGAGCTTTTGGGGTGTTTCTAAAGATCTAAATGCATTTTTTTATTTTTTGTTTTTTACATAATGTGAGGAGCTTGGAGGGTGTGAATAAATTTGTATTCAGCTTCATACAGCTCAGTATTTGGGATCCTAAAAATTACAACCAAAGCTGGTCCATTTTGAGTCAACTATTCTGAAGTCATGATAAGTGATAAATGGATTAATTATAGAGTATTAGTGAATGAAGAAAAATATTCAATTTGCAGAAGGGAAAAGCCCCCAGGAATCCCCTGAAGCATCCCTGGGAATCAGGCAGAAGGAGGCTGCTTACCTCAGGAGGTTGGGCAGAGGGATGGAGCCAGAGCCTGACCCCAGGATCCCCTTTTTCCCACTCAACAGTTTCTCCACCAAGGCCACATTCCCGGTGCGGGCGGCCTCCAGCAGCTCCTGTTCCTTCCCCATTCCGGACTCTCAAGTTTGCAACGACAGGGCGGTGGAATCAAAACAAAGAAAACCCATAAAAATAACAAATAAAATCCCTCCTGTGCTCAGTGTCTGCTGCGCATCTGAAGGATTCCCTCTGGCTGCGTGCAGCTCTGCACCGTGGAAGTGGGTGTTATTGATGCTGCAGAGCACGGATCCCCTGGTGCCCTGCAACCTCAGCTGCTTCTCATCCACAGCTGCGTAATTTACTCCCGGTGTGCAGATCCTGATCCCCGGTTAAAACCTGAAACAAATCCCCTCCGACTTCATGCACGTCCGAGGTTAAAAAGAAGAAACAAAGGAGAAGAAATAAAACTCCTTCTTTGTCCTTTCTCCTCTGGAGCTCCTGCTGGGAACAGACTGGAGGTGAAACTCCGTCTGCAGCCACAAAAAGCTCTCCCTGCCCGCTCACCGCCTCCCTCTGTCCGCTCAACCAACCGCACTGCTCCGCTGGTTCTCAGGGTCTGCTCACACACAGCTGTCAAGCTCCCGGAAACCACTGCTTCCTGGCAGCGCCTTTCAAAAAAAAACTCCAGTCTGATTATTATTATTATTATTATTATTAAAGGTAATAATAGCAGTATAAAAAATTATTTTTATGCAATTTAATTAACAGATAATACAAAAGAAAATTAAATAGTGGAACAAAAAACTGCATTTTAGAAGACCGATATATAATCATTATTGGTTTGGTTACTGCTTCATTGGAAAGACAAAAGAGAATTAAATCATATAAAAGTGTTATAAACTAATAGAAACATCGTCTTTGAATGTAAAAATTATTTAAACTGTATCATCTGGTGAACTGTAAAAAATGAAGTGTGTTGTGAATTGGTGTTACATAAATAAACTGAATTCATCAAGCAGCAAATTTAATTTAAATTAATGATATTTTCCTGTATTTTGCATATCTGTATTTGTATATCTTTACTTTGAGCAAAATACTATAATTGGATACTGTGATGAAGTAAAAGTTCTGTGAAACTGGACAGATTTGATTTTTTTAAGTGGTGGTTGTCATGGTCTTGGTTCTGTTATGTTTTACTTTGCTCCATGTTTTCTTGGTTTAAATCCCATTTTGTTGTATTTTCTGGATATATTTGAGTTCTTAGCTTTGTATTTGTTGCACTTTTGTGTTGGTCTCCCTTTTCCTAGCTCCTCGTCTTTCCTTGACTCCATGTTGCTCTTTTCCCCTGATGTCTCCATGGTTCTGGTTAAGTTTTATATTTTGAGTTGGATTTTGGATTCCTGCCTCTGTTACCTGTGTTGATTCATTAAAAACTGCAAGAACTCACCTATGTCCTCAAACCTCAACCAAACCCTGACAGTGATAGCTCATCCACTTATAATAACACCATGAGTAACCATCCATATTGACCAAAAACATAATCTTATTGCCGTAACTATGCAGCCAATTACTCTATTGCATTAGGGGAGTGTCGGCCTAGTGGTTAAAGCAGTATGCTTGTCAGAGGTGTCAAATAACGAAGTTCAAATACTTTGTTACTGTACTTAAGTACACTTTTTAGGTATCTATACTTTACTCCATTACTTATTTTTCTTCCTACTACTGATTTCTACTCATTACGTTTTCACAAAAGTATCTGTACTTTCTATTCCTTACATTTTTAAAACAAACATTACTTGTTAGTCTTTGCTTCGGTTTAATGTTTATAAATATTCATTTCATGTCATGTGCTCCATCCAATGCAGATCATTGGCTCCATCCACATCTAGTGAAAAC